GAAATTTTCGAATTCTTTCGAATTTTTCATTAATTTTTCGTGTCTTAAAAAAAAAAAAGGTGTCATCTTGTTAGTCCTTTGTTTGATTTTTTTCGGTTTTACCTTTTGTTGAGGGGTCAAATTTCTTTTTTGGTTCGATTTTTTGAGTCTTGTTGGGGGTTCGATTTTTTGAATTTTTCCCTATTATTTTCGAATATTTTTTTTTAGAGTAAAAAAAAAATGTCTTACCCACCATTGGATGAGTTGGATTGGGAAGATCTTGAGATGTTGGAAGGTTTGGAAAGAGAGCTCACACCATGGGAAGCAACATATCTTGATGAGCTTCATGAGCGAAGGAATATTGAAGAGTACGAGCGTCAACTCATGGAAGCCCGAGAAGCAATGGTGATCGATGCTCATGACCATGAAGAGGAAAGAGAGCTAAATTTTCTGATCCTTGAGGACAAGGAAAGTCTCGAAGAGGAGGGGAATGATACGGAAGTGGTCATCAACCCAGGCGAGTCGGAGGATGAAGGTGGCGATGGTCTCGATATTTGGCTAGAAAATATGTTGGAGGAGCCATCTAGTCCTATTTACCGGCCATCATGTGTACGAGATTGGCCAAAAGGATGTGGTCCACGAGCTAAACTCAAGCCTAAGAGACGCAAGACCAAACGAGCTCGAAGGAAGCACAAAGCGAAGGCAAAAGAAGAGAAGTGTTGGTGTAAGCCATGTGCAAGAAAAAGGCGAGCAAGAAAGATGGAGGCTCGAAGGCGGGGTAAGGAAAGGATGGAAGAGGGATGTTTTGGCGTGCCGGAGATTGCACGGACATGGAAGGAAAGCGCATTAAAGGATGGGACCCGTGGGAAAAACCAGGACCATCGGGCGAGCACTTGAAGTCGTTCGGCGACGAGGGTGCGAGCACGAGCGGAGAGCGGACATTGTTCCTTGATGCGTGCAAGATAGGCACGATCGATGGAGGCAAGCAGATCACGGGCGATTGCGCGAACGTAGGCGGTACGCGAAAGGTTGCCGCAGGGCACGGCGAATGCGCTAGTGGCGCGGACGCGTACAATGGCCTAGGCCTAGTGGGCCTAGGATTGGCGGGAACGGACGCGCGAGGAAAAGTCGGCAGATACGAGACGCGCTACGGGCGCGCGAGTATGGGTGACGCGGGAGGAAACCGTGGCCTT